AAAAAAAAAACTAAACTAAAAGATAAATAAAAATAGAACTGAAGAGATGGCTTAGTAATTAAGAACAATTCCTACTCTTCCAGAGGACCTGAGTTCAGTTCGCAGCATCCACATTGAGCTGGAACTCCTTTTCTTGCCTCTATGGGCACTTCCACACATGTGGCATACACTCATACAGCCACACACATACACATAAATAAAAATAAATAAATCTTTAAAAATATGCATCTAAGTTATGTATGGTTAAGGCCAGGCATGGTGGCACATACTCCCAGCATTCAGGAGGCAGAGGCAGGTGGATCTCCATGAGTTCAAGGTCAGCCTGGTCTACATAGTGAGTTCCAAGCCATCAGCTGGGACTACAGGGAGACCATCTCAAAACACACACACACACACACACACACACACACACACACACACCAAAACAAAACAAAACAAAACAAAACAAAACAAAAAACAGCTGCCAAAGCAGAGAGCTGCAAACTTCCATTTCTTCCCCAACATGTCAGGAGCAGATACACACTTAAAAGTAAAAAGAGGCTGGGTGTAGTGGCACATGCCTTTAATCCCAGCACTTGGGAGGCAGAGGCAGGCAGATCATGGTGAGTTCAAGGCCAGCCTGGTCTACATAGTGAGTTCCAGGCCAGCTGGGGCTACAGAGTGACTGTGTCTCAAAAAGACCAAAAAAAAAAAAGTAAAAAGAAAGCTGAGGGTGAACTCAGTAGTAGGGTGTTTGCCTAGGAAGTACCTAGGTTTGATCCCCATCATCCCAAAATAATGAATAAAATGTTCCTAGCATTTTTTATATTTTTTATGTTATGAGTATATTGCCTATATGTATATAAGTGCACTCATGTTTTACAATGACTGCAAGGTCAGAATAGGGCATTGGATCCCCTAGAACTGGAGTTACTGATGATTGTTAGCCGCCAATGTGGGTGCTAGGAATCAAACTTCAGTCATCTGCAAGAGCAGCTAGTGCTCTTAACCACTGAGCCATCTCTCCAGTCCCCCTGGCATTTTGCCTTTAAGATAGTTATATGGTTAGTCTTATTATGTAGCCCAGGCTGGCCTCAAACTTATAACCCTTCTCAATTTCCTAGGTGCTAGGACTGCAGGTGCACAGCAGGATGTCTCTTAAGGGAATTTCAGAGATTGTTGACATGAATGGGGACAGCCTAGTTCTTTATCACTTGTTGTGATGTAAATATTGGCAAAGTGATAACTAGAGCCTGGAGTGAGACTGTCTGCTGAGACTGATCCCCACTGTCCTGGCTGTACAAACCTGACCCTTCCCACTCTGTTGTCTGTCTTCCCAGTCTTACCAACAGACAAGTGGCACTTCACTAAACCAAAAGTAAGGTCAACTTCTATGAGCCAAACTGACCTCCACATGCAGGCAATGAAACTGTACAAAAAGGTTTGGCTCTGGGGCTTGAGAGATGGCTCAGTGGTTAAGAACACTGTTCTTGCAGAAGACCTGGGTTCGAATCCCAGTACCCACACGGCAGCTAATAACTGTCCATAACTCCAGTTCGGGATCTGACAGCCTCTTCTGTCCTCCATAGGCATTGCACGACATGGGTGCACTTACCTAAAGGCAGGTATAACACTCATACACATAAAATAAAAATAATAAACAAGGGGCTGGAGAGATGGTTCAGTGGTTAAGAGCACTGACTGCTCTTGCAGAGGACCCAGGTTTGATTCCCAGCACCCACATGGTGACTAACAACCATCCATAACTCCGGTTCTGGAGGAATCCAATGCCTTCTTCTGACCTCTGAGGGCACTGCACGACATGGGTGCACTTACACACATGCAGGCAATACATTCATACACATAAAATAAAAATAATAAAATATATAAAATTTTTTTTTTGGTCTTTTTGAGGCAGGATCTTCCTGTAGCTCCAGCTGTCCTGGAACTATGTGGACAAAAAAAAAGTCTGGCTCTAAAGCATCTGCTTCCCAGGGGGAAATCACACCAATGGGCCCAGGACAAGGCCTTTAAAAATTTTTTTTAAATTTATTAGGGCCAGGCATTGTGGTACATGCCTTTAATTCCAGTACTTGGGAGGCAGAGGCAAGTGGATCTCTGTGTTTGAGGCTAGCTTGGTCTACATAGTGAGTTTCAGGTTAGCCAGGGCTACATAGTGAGATCCTCTCTCAAAAATTTTCATTTATTATTGTGTGTATGGGCATGTGCATGCCACAGTGCACATGTGGAGGACAGAGGGCAACTTTGTGAAGTCTGTTGGTTCTCTCTACCTTCACATGGTATGCTAGATAGCTTTAGTTGTCAACTTGACACACCTAGGTAGAGTGAGCTCTATTGGACTGGCCTGTGGCCATGTCTGTGCGGTATTTTCTTGATTGTTGAATGATGGGGGAGGGTCCAGCCCACTGTGGGAGGTGCTATCCCTGGGCAGATTGTTCTGTATTGTATAAGCAAGCAGGTTGAGCATGGGCCAAGAGAGCAACCCAGAAAGTAGGGTTCCTCCATGGCCTGTACTTCAGCTCTTGTCTCCAGGTTCCTGCCCTGAGTTCCTATCTTGGGCTCCCTCAGTGATGAACTGTGATCCAGGAGATGTAAGCCAAATACACCCTTTTCTCCCCAAGATGGTATTGGTGTTTTGTCACAGCACAGTGTTTTGAAGGCAAACTAAGACACGTGGGTTCTAAGGATAGAACTCAGGCCGTCAGGCTTATATGGCAAGCATTCTACCCATGGAGCCATCTCATTGGGCTTCTTTCTTTAACCAGACCTCTTGCTAGATGTCTCCATTTCAACTGTGCATCCCAACCTTCAAAGGCTGCAGACCTGCTAATCATGGCCCACAGGCCCTCCTCCCTGACCACACCACTACCTTGAAGTTGCTCTCCAGGGAAGGCTGCAGTTCTCTGGCATTCCTGAAGGCCTATGATTGCCTGCCTCTTACTCTGCATCCCCTTCAAGAACTACTTTCAAAGTTCGGGACTTTCTCTGTTTTCTTTTGGATTTTTGAGTTGGTATCTCACGCTGTAGCCTAGATTGACCTTGAACTCACTGCAGTTCTGTCTCAGACTCCCAAATGCTGTGATTACAGAAGTGAGTCAGTCACTACACCTAGCTCAGTGTTTGAGGGTTTTGACAATAGCATCACAAGGGACCCAGCCTTGGTGGACTTTGAGGCACCACATTTGGGCATCCATGACTTGTCAACAGCAGATGGAAGCAAGCACAAAATGCAAAGCCCCCTTTGGCAGGTGGCCTCCCTGGGCCTGCCAACTATCCTCTGCACCTAAAAAGGCCAAAGGCAGGTAAGGGACTGCCTCCTTCCAGGGAATGAGGATTGTATGTGAAGTGCACACAATCTAATGGTATAGGGAACCAATAGGGACAAATCGAATTTTGCTGGGGAGAGGCAGCAACCTGGGGACCCAGATGTCAATGCTGCAGAGGTGGATCTAGTCCCCTTCTAGGGTACTGCATCTCCTCTGGGCTACCCAGCCAGGCCCCAAACTGGGAGAACAGCTTTCATGGAAGATGGGGGTCAAGGCTGCTGACTCTTGTTTAACTGACTTGAAAATAAACAGGGTATCTCCCCAAAACCGTATTTGGCTTTGGCTTACTCCAGGAGTGCATTGCTCGGAGATACTTGTTATAGAACTGCATCTTGTTTCTCCTGGGCCTGTACTCTGGAGAGGGCCAGTACAGACACTAGCATACCCCTTCTTTGTCCTCTGTGTAGGAACCAGCTTGTTTCAGTCCTAGAAACCAAGGGGAGCTGGGAGAAACTATCTCCAATGAAGCTCTATAAGGCTCATGTGTGAAGGCAGGCAATGGGTGAAAGGGACTAAGTAACCATGGGCTCTCACTGGCCTGAACACAGGCCATCACCAGGAATGTGCACTGACTTTCCAGAGATGCCCTCCAGCTTCTCACACACCCAAGGTCTGGAACACCAGACACTAGATACAGGCTCTAAGGTTTCTTTTTGTCAAGACCTCACAGAGGCTTCATCTGAACTATCCAGGGGCACTGGACAAGGCTGGACACCCAATAGGTGTGCTGTGAACATGTCTGTGATAGTGTTAGGAAAGAGCTTGGTTTAGAAGGCTAAGTGCAGCATGGGACAAGCATTGGGGCTGTTTGTGCTCTAAACATTGATCAAAGGGTTGACATGACAAGCCCCTAGAGCCAGCACAACAGTTATAAGCTCAATACTGTGTTTGCCAGTGGGTCAGGAGTAAAATTACATTAACATCAAAGTCTGTCTCTTCAGGAAGCAATACCTAAATATGCTCAGGGTTTGCAATAGTGTTGAGCTGGGGATTCAGAGAAGACTAGTCTAGACTCCAGGGCTGAGGGGTTTGAGAGGGAACGGTGTTCATTCCTACAGGTTAGCCTTAGCACCATACCTCCCTCTAATCCAGCGTCCCCTAGTAAGAAATCAGGCAATGGGCTAGAGAGACGGCTCAGCGGTTAAGAGCATTGATTGCTCTTGCTGAGGACCTGGGTTCAATTCCCAGCACCCACGTGGCAGCTACAGACCATCCTTAACTCCAGTTCCAGGGGAATACAACACTCTCTTCTGACCGCCATGGCACCACACAACACAGGTGCATTCACATATATGCAAGAGATACACTCATACACATAAAAATAATAAATGTTTAAAAAAAAGAAATCAGGAAACCATGTTGCTCACCACCTTCTATGGTGAAAGGGACTAGGCTGTGTTTGTGGGAGAAGAGCATGAGACGCAACCACGCTGAAGAGAGAGAAAAAAAGAGAAAGGAAGAAAACACAACTCCCATGTCAGTGACAGAACCATACTGAATCTATTTATTTATTTATTTATTTATTTATTTATTTAGGTCTTTTTGAGACAGGGTCTCCTTGTAGCCCCAGCTGTCCTGGAACTATGTAGACCAGGCTGGCCTCAAACACACAAAGATCCACCTGCCTCTGCCTCCCAAGTGCTAGGATTAAAGGCATGTGCCACCACGCCCGACCACACTGAATCTTTTTAATTATTTACTTTCTAAAAACTTTTACAAATTCAAATTCATGGATATTTATAGCAAAAAGATTAACTTTTTAAAAGAGTATGCATTTTCTGATAAAATCTAACAACTATTCAGATACCTCCCATGGGCCGTATTGGGTGTAGGTTCATGACCTGGTTGCTCCCACCTGGGATGGGGGCTGTGGGAGGCAGAACATGGAAATAGCTTGGTCCCCAGAGGAAGAGCTAAATGACTAGGATTTCCAAAATCAGATACAGGATTCTCGGCTTGATTATGGACCACTGTGGGGTGCAAGGCATTTCCCATGAACACTGCTTCCTGGCTATAACTGTTTTTTATACAATTTTTTTGTTTGTATGTCAAAAGTTGTATCCTCAGGCTAGGGATATAGTTCAGTTGATAGAGTGTTGGCCCAACATGCATGAAGCCCTGGGTATGATATTCAGCACTGCATAAACTGGGCATGGTGTATTCTCTCCTATAATCTCAGCGTTCTTGAGAAGTAGACACAGAAGAATCAGAAGTTCAAGATCATCCTCAGATATATGGTGTGTTTTGAGGATAGCCTGGGGTACATGAAACCCTGTCTCAGGAAAAAAAAAAAAAAAAAAAGAAAAGAAAATTTGTATCCCCAGCATATATACCTGTATTCCTAGCACTCAGGAGATTGAGGCAGGAAGATTGTGAATTGGAGGCTATACCTCCAACAGGAAGGGGCCAAGGTTACTAGAAAAGACCCAGGGTCAGTTCACCTCCTTCACAACTTGTGAGGCTGTGACTGCCCACTGGGCAGTACCTCCTCTATACCAGGCTAGGTCAGGATCGGGGAAGATCCTACAAAGACCTGACATGCAGTTTATAGCTGAACCTGGTAGAGTGCAAGAAGGGGCATCCAAGGACATAGGTGACTTCAAGTAGGAGCAGTACCTCACCTAGAGCTTAGCAGAGGAGGATTCAAAATCCATCAGTTTCTTGATGTCATTTGGAAGTGTCATCCAGTTCCCGCCATCAACTACCAACAGGATCCCTGAGACGTAGGAAGCCAGAGGGCTGGCCAAGTACAGCACGCTGTGAGCAATCTCTGTTTTGTTTCCTAGTCTCTGCCCTGGGCTCAAAGGAGTCTTCATCCTCCAACTGGCCTGGGGACCTCCTGCAGGACAGCAGGAAGCCATGCTCCAGTAAGTTCCCAGATCACAAGGCCTGCTACTTTCCCAGCCAGCTCTTTCCCTGAACTACATATGAAAACAGGGGTTACACTATTATCCAGGCCTAGCAGAGCAGGAACAGAGGAAGAGCACAGTGACACAGAACCAGCAAAAGGGAGCATGATGTCCTGTGGGCAGTAAGAATTGAGGATCCTCAAACTAGGCCAGGCTAGACAGGGCAGAAGGTCAAGAACTTGGAAGACTCCCTGAGAAACAAGAATCAAGCAATTTTTTCAAGCCCTGCTACAATTTGGGAAGCTTGATGGGTATTCCACACTCCCTGAAAGCCTTCCTTACCCAACCGCCGGAACCCCTCAGTTCCACTGATAGGGCCAGGAGCCAGACTGTTGACACGGATATTCTGGGGACCCCACTCCACAGCCAAGTGTCGTGTCATAGCATCTGCATAGAAGAAAAGTGCATAGGAGGGAGCTCATGAAGCTGTTCTGTCTCTGGGGTAGACCAGGTGCCAGTAGGGGTGAAGAGTCAAGGCTAGGCCTCTATAGTGTCCACAACTAGGGTCAGATGCATGTGACAACTATCAGTCTCTAGGGACAGTCAAGGGGAGGCAGACCATGGGGGCACTCATACCCACAGCTGCCTTGGCAGCGCCTGCATGCACCTGCATGACCTGCCCCCTGAAACTGAGGGTGGCAGTAATGTTCACAATCACCCCTCCATGATCCTGCAACACAAAAGATGATAGTGAGTGGGCAGCCAGAGGAGGGGAGGCCTCTGCCAGGAGGATACCCACCCGGAAGAACTTCTCATAGACTACACGAGACACATTGAAGGTTCCAATGGTATCAATGTCAACCACAGTCTTGAAGGCATTGAAGGACAAAACACTGGCAGGGCATAGGAAGTTTCCAGCCGCACCTACAGAATAGAAGGAGAGAGCTACTAGGCTGAAGCCCTGGGAGACAAACACCAAGTGGGCTAAGCCCTGGACAAGAGTACAGAAGAAAGCCTGATGCTCTGTAGGCAGTGATAGTGCCAAGACCCTCAAGCTGGTTTAAGCTCAACAAGACAGAAGGCCAAGCACTGGGAGAACTTCTTGAGCAACAGGAGTGGAAGTCCTAAAACCAAGTATAGAAGCAGCACTTGGGAGGTAGAGGCAGGAAGATGAGGCATTCAAGGTCATCCTCAGGTCCATAGTAAGTTTGACCCTAGTTTGGACTACATGATATTCTGTCTCACAAAATAAATAAAATAAAGTAAATAAAATAAGTTGAAATTCCAAACTTTTGTTTGTGAATATGACCTTATGTGAAAATAGAGTCTTTGCTGTCAAGTTGAGATCATGCTGAATTAGGGTGATCACAACTGACATCTTTATTTAAGAAGAGGTGAGGGAAGCTAGGGATGTAGCTCAGGGGTAGAACACCTGCCTAGTACATACAAGGCTGTGGGTTCAACAGAAACAGAAAGACACAGAAGAGAGGCCAGATAAAAAAGGAGGCCGAGATTGGGGTGATGCAACCACAAGCCAAGGAATACTCATAACTGGTACAACTCTGAGAGCTAAGATAAACTCACAGCTAGATCTTCTGGAACCTGTAGTGAGTACAGCTCTAATGATACCCTGGTTTTAGATTATAATGGCTTCCAGAGCTAAGGTATAACATTTCTGTTTTTTTAAAAATTGCATTATTTTTATTTTATCTATCTATCTATCTATCTATCTATCTATCTATCTGTTTTTTGTTTTGTTTTATTCTTTTGAGACAGGGTCTCTCTGTAGCCCCAGCTGTCCTGGAACTATGTAGACCAGGCTGGCCTTGAACTCACAGAGATCTGCCTGGCTCTGGGATTAAAGGCGAGTGCCACCACGCCCGGCTATATGAGTTTTTTTAAACTGCATGTATGCAAGTGTACCACATGCATATAATGCCTGTGGAGGCCACAAGAGGGAATCAAAACCCCTAGAACTGGAGTTAAAGATGGTTGTTAGCTGCCATGTGGGAAATGAACCCGGGTCCTCTAGAAGAGCAGACAGTACTCCTAACCACTGAGTTACCTCTGGCCCCACGTTTCTCTTATTTTAAGAGACTAAGTTTTGGGGCTGGAGAGATGGCTCAGAGGTTATGAGCACTGACTGCTTTTGCAGAGGACCCAGGTTCGATTCCTAGCACCCATATGGTGGCTACATGTCCTTAACTCCAATTCCAGGGGAATCCGAAGCTCTGACTTCCGCCACACAGGTGCACTCACATACATGCAGGCAATACACTCATACACATAAAAAAAATAAATAAATATTTTTTTAAAAAAGGAGAGAGAGATTCAGTTTCTGGTATTTTAGTCAGCCCCAGGAAACTAATACATAAGATGTTTGTATTTGGGAATTTTAAACTTTTTTTTTCCTGGCTTTTTAAGACAGGGTCTCCCTGTAGCCCCAGCTGGCCTGGAACTCAGAGATACACCTGCCTCTGCCTCCTGAGTGCTGGGACTAAAGAAAGGCATGTACCACCACACCTGGCTACTTTATTTTTTTAATTTTATGTGTATGAGTGTATTGCCTACATGTTTGTAAGTGGACCCACGTCATGGAATGCCCAAGGTCAGAAAAGGGTATCAGATCCCCTGGAATTAGATCCAGATGGTTGTCAGTTGCCATGTGGGTGCTGGGAATTGAACCCAGGTCCTCTTCAAGAGCAGTCAGTGCTCTTAACTCTTGAGCCATTTCTCCAGCCCAGTTTGGTTTATTTTTTTGTAGACAGGGTCTCACTTGTAATCCTGCCTTAGCAGGTAGAGTCTCATGTTGCCCCCACTGGCCTCAAAATCATTATGTAGCCTAGGGTAACCTCAAAATTCTGATCTGCTTGCCTTCAATTCTGGAGTGCTGAGACTACATGTGTTTACCACCACCATAACTAGTTTATTGAGTGCTAGGGACTGAACCCAAGGCGTCATACATGCTAGGCAAGCACTCTACCAACTGAGCTATATCCCCCCCCCTTTTTTTTTTTGTCTTTTTTGAGACAGGGTCTCCCTGTAGCCACAGCTGGCCTGGAACTCACTATGTAGACCAGGCTGGCCTTGAACTCACAGAGATCTGCCTGCCTCTGCCTCCCAAGTGCTGAGATTAAAAGCATGCACCACCACACCTGGCTTCCCCATACTTTAAAAAAAAAATATTTTGTGGGGCTGGAGAGACAGCTCAGAGGTTAAGAACACTGATTGTTCTTGCAGAAGACCTGGGTTCAAATCCCAGCACCCACATGGCAGCTAACAAATGTCCGTAACTCCAGTTCCAGAGGATCCAACAGCCTCTTCTGTCCTCTGTGGACATTGCACAACATGGGTGCACTTACCTACATGCAGGCATAATACTCGTACACATAAAATAAAATATTTTTAAAAAATTGTGTTATTTTATTTTTATGTGTATGAGTATTGCTTGCATGTAAGTGCACCCATGTCGTGCAGTGCCCATAGAGGTCAGAAGAAGGTGTCAAATCCCCTGGAACTGAAGTTAAGAACAGTTGTTAGCCACCATGTGGGTGCTGGGAATTGAACCTGGGTCCTCTGCAAGAGCAGTCAGCGCTCTTACCATCTCTCCAGCCCCTATCCCACATACTTTTAACATTTATTTATTTGTTTTGTGTATGTAATGTGTGTGGGTAAGCACATGCCACGGTGTACATGTGGAGGTCAGAGGACTGCCTAGGAGAGTGGATTCTCTCCTTCCACCATGTGAGTACTGGGAATCAGACTCAGGTCACCAGGCTTGGTGGTAAGTGCCTTTACCTGCTGAGCCATCTCACCAGCCCACTTTTTTTAAGTGGAAATTTCAGGACACAAGGACACCTCTGAATTGTAACTCAGTCATGCTTACAGTTTAGCTAAGCCTTTGCTGACTCACCACCTGGGAAAAGCAAAGATGGGCCAAGACAGAGCTTGTAGCCTGGGTCTTGCCTCCGGCAAGTGGAAAGGTCTAATGAGGTCAGGATAGAGCTGTAGCCTGGGTCTTGCCTCTGGCAAGTAGAAAGGTCATAGCTGGGCCAGAACAAGCACCTAGGCACTCTGGCACATCCCTGCTCCAGGACCAGAGTTCTGGAACCTCTAAGTAGCACTACCAACTTATTAGAAGACTCTGACCTCACTCAATGCTGACTTACAGTTAATGAGGATGTCAATTTTGCCAAATTCCTTCAATGCCTGGTCCACAGCAGCCATGACAGCTGCAGGAACTCGCACATCCATACTCAGAGGGAGGCACTGCTTTCCGGTAGCAGCAACCAACTTTTCAGCAGCCTAGACAGATACCAGAGTGGAAGAGATGTGGATGGATAATAGTTTTAAGGACTTGAGGCAAATGAGGCATCCAGGTTCTATCAGGACCCCATGTTTGCTGCTACACCCCATCAGGGGAGATTCAGCCTAAAAATAGTCACTTCCTGGGCCATGACCCGTGATGGATATTGGTTAAGATATCTTGCACTCTCTACAACCTGTCCCCTATCCCAGATTCCACCTTTAGCATCACCCTCTAAGCCACGGACTTAGAGGATAATAACTTTCATGTTGCTGGTGAGTCCAATAACCAGACTTTTAAAAAGTCAAGGGTGTCTCTGGGAGGCCACTTTCTCTGAGTCCCTGTATGCAAGAGGGAGTAGGTTTTAGTGTTTCTATCCCCTGAGCCTCAGGACCCTCCCTGCCCAAGCTCAGGACTCCCATAGCTTCCCTCTTACCAAGGACACTCTTGGCAGGCTCCTGCTGGCGATGACAATGTGGCAGCCATGCCTACAAAACCAGGTAACAGGTCTGAGAAGGCATACTCAAGTGAGTTCCTACTAGGAATTCTACAAGGAGCTCCTCCAAGAGTTTTTTTAGGCTGAGGTAGGAATGAAGGCTGAAGTATGGCTGGCAGAGGACACAGGAGCTCAAGCAGATACCACAGTTACCCACTCCTAGGTTTCTGGGCTGGGCCTCCCTGGCTTGGGCTATTCTGCCCTAAACACCATGTACATAGCAGAGAGGCTGTGGTGGGCTACTAGTGCCAAGACTAGACTTGTGCAGGGCCTGCTGAGACAATGGAGTGAAGGACAGATGGCCATTTGGAGGCAAGGAACCTCACAGTGACAATAATGGATAATACCTGCTAAATAGGTTCCACAGAAGTTACAAATTCTTATCTCATCTTCAGATGGATCCTGAGCACACTCAGCCTTGGTTTACTGAGAAAAAAGTTCATAAAGCCACCAGTTCCAAGTAAGAGCCCAGCCCAGCTGGAGCCATGAATCCCCAATTGTCTTCCCATGGGATTCACTTCATGGTATGAAAGGGAGACCTGGAAAAGAGTTCTGCCTCTACTTTGGCCTAATCCTTTACCTCTACCAGCTTAGGTAGCAAGTGGCTGACCCTAGCACAAAACCACAAAACTTATGTCCCAAGAGACCCTGTTCCCCACTGTATCAACCCTCCCATGAGATTCTAAGGCCAGAGTCAAGCAGTTTTTTACTGACCTCCCCCTTCTACCACCCAGAGCAACATTCAAGTTCTCCCCAAGATCCAGCAGGGAGGTCCAGACAGGGGAAGCAAGGGGCAGGGAGAGTCCCTGAGTACTGTGTACCTCATGAAAATCTCAGCAATCCGGAAGCCAATCCCAGAGCCACCACCTGTGATAAAGGCCACTTTGTCCCTTGGAAAAAGGAGAATAGAGTCTATTTTAAAATATCAGGCCTGGTGGGCCTGTGATTCTAGTACTTGGGAGGTAGAGGCAAAAGAATCAGAAATTCAAGGCCAGCATGGGCTACATGAGTTTCAGGACAGCCTAGGCTACATGAAACTCTGTCTCAATAAATAAATCACTGTTAACTGAAGGGGGAGGTGGGTAGATAGGTGGATCACGGAGGACTTTGGCCAGTGTGACTGTGTAAATAAATAACAGTTCTGTAGAGAATGGAAACCAAGTCCTTAGGTATGCTAGACACACATCCCCAAATATAAAACTGCAGACTTTAAAAGTCTGCTGTTTTTAGGTTTTCTGAATCTTCAGGGAGAAAATATTTAACCTAAAATTCTCTGTGCAGAATGTTACCAAGTGAGACGTTTATCAAAACGGACACGCTTCCTCCTGCAGCCCCTCATCCCACTCTTCCAGGACGCAAAGAAACTTCGGGTCTGGGGTCACCCAAGAGTGTGGTGCTAGAGCACCTGTCCTCTGGGTTGCCACATTTTGTAACCCAGAATCCGGTACCATTTGTCCACTCTGCCCTCAGCGCCGCAGACCCCATCGCTCCCTATTTCCCTGTTTTAGCTCACTGGAGAAGGTCAGGGCAGAAGAGGTGGCGGTATTCAGGAAGACATTCATCCTCTTCAACGTCAGGGGGCTGCTGGGCCATGACGCTGTGCATTCGCGGGGACGGCGAGGACTGTAGGACGCTGCAAAACCAAGGAACTAGCCTCTACCTTTCCAGACGCGCAGCTCCTCTCCCTGCGCCCCTGCACTGAAGGGCCAGAGTCCAGATCCTGTGACGCCCCGCCCCCACCCAGGCTCACGCTGCAGGGACGCCCCGCCCACTCCAGGGCGCCTCAGCCTGGCACGCCTTCCTGTCAAGCCCTCTCCTGGAGGTCCCGCTCCCTATTGCATCTGCCCACTAGTGCTCCCTCAGAGGCCCCGCCCACTGCGGCGCGTGGCCTGCTGGGAATGCGAATGGGAGCTGGCTCACGCAGGCGCAGTGCGGTTCTCTCGCTGGTTATGCCTGGATCCCTTTCCAAGGTGGAAAGCTGTGGTAGGACCCTGAGGTGAACACTCCTAGTCCGTGCCCTGAGGCCGGCTCCGTTGTGGAAGCTGGGGCGCTCGGGGAGCAGGGTCCTACCTCCGACACGCCCTCTCTGTGCACGGAGATGATGGAGGGCCTGCAAAGCTGAGCTTGCCCTCTCGCTCGGCTAGCTCCGGTGCAAGTCCAAGTCACCCTCTTGGTGGCAAGAATCACAGCACTTCGTCCCTAGGATCCCGGACTGGGTTTCATCATCCAGATATCAAATAGTGCAGTGACGGGCAAGTTGGCCTCAGCAGCATCATGATGTGCCTCTGGTGCCAGCCGGCCAAAACGGACAGTACCTGAGAGGGGGAGTGAGGATTGAAAGAAAGGAAAGGAGACAGAAAAGATGCTGCTTGGGAGGGCTCATAGTGAATACTGCAGCTCCGATTTATTTCAGTTCTGCCTTTTTATATAGAAGAACTCAATTAGTTACAACTGCTGTTTTTCCCCACCTGTATCTGAGGGTCAGGGAGCGGTCAGATCAAAGGCTTCCACTATTGCAGGTGTTGTGAGGCTCTCCATATAAACATATTCCTCCTAATAAGGCAGATTAGATATTGGTGTGCATAACACACACTCAGTAAACAAGCCTGACACAGCTCAATGATTAGCGGCTCCTGACACTCCCCCCAACAACAACTTCAAAAGAAGGAATCCATTTCTAGCTTTGGGACTTTTATTTGCTAGCCTGTGGTATCTGGTAGGGCCACTGAACCCTTTAACTACATTTAAACTCTTATGTATATATGTTATGAAGCTTCTATAGTAGTACATTTTCCATGAGTTATTGAAAAGACCTTTAGTGTGAGTTCTCTCTCCC